ACACTGAATTTTACTTTGAGATATCATGAATAGGTACCATGCTCTTTGGGGCTTCTTAGTTACCAGTTCTTCATCCATATTGCTTTATGGCTGAATGACAATGAATAATTGTATAGAGATTTTCTTAGTCTATTAAAAATAATATTTGTCTGATCCTATGACCTTACAGGATTAAATTGCAGTCATGAAAATTATCACATTTTTCTTCTCAATACAGTTGCATTATTTTTACACACTGATTTAAAATAACAAATATGACCTTATATATTGTATATATGCATGTGTTTATTTGGAATTATTTACACATAAATATCATATTTATTAAGAAATTTCAGTTGTGAAGACAGGAAAAGCAACAGATGCTCTTTGAAGCATGCAAAGAGGGAAAATAAATACATGAGATAGAATATCACCTTAGTGTCTATTAAAGAAGTTTCTATGTGTGAGTCCAATTAGTTTTCAAGAAAAGGAATTACAATTAGAATTTTGAGATCATGTGACTATGACTAACGTATTCACAATTTCAATATGACTTTCTTCATAATCCTTAAAAATGCACATATATATATACTCCTTATGAGCATATTCTATAAAATATCATACAAATTTCCAGCTATGTGTATTGTCACCTTATCAACAATATTTAGCAAGTTAACATTATATAATTAAGTAGCAAATAATTAAGTCTCAAGAGTCTAATTCAAATTCAAGGAATTGTTTCTATTCTGCAGATATGTGTTGTTACAAATTTTCATATGTGAGCTTTTGGTCCATAAACCTCTGAATGTTTACTATTGCTCCTGTCAAGATTATCTCATTCTCATGTGACGAACATAACAAGATGCTTTCCGTTGTTGCATAGGAGAATATAAAACATATCCACAATAACATATGTATTCACCAGCAACTATAACTAAGAGGAAAAACAACCTCACTGTTCAACAAGTTGATTCCTTGGAGACGTCAAGGGTCTTGGAGCACGTGTTACATAAAATTCCAGGTTAATCATTACTTGGTTGGTCTTGTAATTTAGATTATAACATTGTACAAATAAATTTATAACAATATCTCTGGCAATTCTGTTGACCAGGATCTTGACATGGTGGCATTTTCTTTACTTTTTTTGCTTCATGTTTCTTTTGTTGTTGATTTCCCTTTTTTGGTATTTATGTGATGATGACAGCCTACTTTTCATCTTGCTTTGGTCACACTTCAAAGTGAAGCAGAAGTGAAATTTCAACTCTTTGAATTTACTCATCTTTTGTAGTGCTTCCTACAGATGTCTTTTGTAGACACTTCCTATAGAATTTTCTTTTGTGAAGAATAACTCACTTGAGGTTACAATGCTTCCTAGTATAAAGCAAGTTTAATAAATAGCCATGGTTTCTGTGTGTATCCAAAAGAACACTTTGCCTCTTCCTCTGTTGGTTTATAAGACAGTGCTTTGACAAGTCACTGTAGGCTCCTCAGCTCATTCCATGAAAATTATAGACAAGATTTATAAATTATTGTCTTTTGCTCATGTCTAGTTTATAGTTTCAATATTGTTTTAATACATCTTTTGAAGAAAACTCAACAGATTTACAAAACTGACAATTCAAATATGAGCTGTTTATTACCAGACATACAAGTAAATGTCTTTGTCTATGATATTTGAATTGTGACTACTTCAAGTCTTCAATAATTCATCTTTTCTTCAGTTCTTCAGGTTACACAATTATTGCCTTCAATGTTTTTCTAATATTTTATTTTTAACTGAAATAGATTCAGGGAAGGTAAATTTCATTAAGTTGTACCATCTTGTTGATGGTGATATTATAAACTTTTATGCATCATTTTCCTTATAATTGATGATTTTATATTAACGCAGTTTACTTTCACTGTCTTCTTATGAATCATGCAAAACCAGAGCTTTGTCACTGAGTTCATACTCCTGGGTCTTTCACAGTCCCAAAATGTGGAAAAAATACTACTTGTTGTATTTTTGTTAATCTATCTTGCAACTATTGGGGGCAACATAATAATTGTCATTACCATCATCTACAATCCTGCACTGCTAGGTTCTCCCATGTACTTTTTCTTGGCATTTCTATCTTTCCTGGATGCATGTACTTCTTCTACTGTCACACCCAAGATAATTATAGACTGCTTGTATGAAAGGAAGACCATCTCTTTTGAATGTTGCATGACACAACTGTTTACAGTTCACTTCTTCACAGGAGCAGAAGTGATTGTCCTAGCAGCCATGGCCTATGACCGCTATGTGGCTATTTGCAAGCCTCTTCACTATTCTTCCATTATGACACAGAAGCTCTGTGGTGTTTTGGTGGTGGTATCCTGGGCAGGAGGATTTTTGCATTCTATCATACAAATTACATTCACATTGCAGCTGCCTTTATGTGGGCCCAATATTATTGATCATTACATGTGTGACCTGTTCCCATTACTGAAGCTTGCCTGTACTGACACACACATTTTTGTCCTTTTGGTGTTTGCCAACAGTGGGGCTATTTGCATTATAATCTTCTCACTATTGCTAGTCTCTTATGGTGTTGTATTGTTTTCTCTGAGAGCCCACAGTTCTGAAGGTCGACGCAAAGCTCTTTCCACCTGTGTATCCCATATTACAGTTGTGCTTTTGTTCTTTGTCCCATGCATATTAATATATGCAAGACCTACATCTGCATTGTCCTTTGAGAAAAATATGCTTATATTTGTCAATGTCCTGACACCGTTACTCAATCCTATGGTTTATACTTTTAGAAATAAGGAAATGATGAATGCCATCAGAAAAATGTGGAAGAGATTCAGAGTGGTGTCTGATAAATTTTAAAATATGCCACATTCATTGGGTAAGGGCACTTACTTTGCAAACCTAAAGATTTGAGATTTACTTTCCAGAAATTTTCATGCAATTACTGACACAGAAGCACAATTTTAATTCAGTACTGGTTCATAGGAGTTTTGTGAATCCAGAGTTTCACTTCATTGTGAATTCATTTGATTGACAGTGAGTTTAAGATTCAATGGAGACTTGTTTCAAGAAAATAAAGTAGAATGCAATAAATGGTCATAACCAGTGCTTTGGCTCTGTATCAATGTTAACAGATACATATACTATTGACCCTTCACATATTCTCATATATGTTATAACACACACATACCCTATACATGTTAACATAAACAAACAAAACATGAACAAAAACTCAATGAAAATAATAAATAAATAAATCTTTTATTGGGCAAATACTACATTCTAGACTTTATAAGTTGATGGCATCTTTAGAAACAGAGGACATTAATTGTGGGAGTGAGAATTTCTGCTTCTGAGTTCACACCTTTACTCTTAAAAGATTAGTCAGCTTTGTTTTATGAAAAAGCCAGTTCAATTTTATCTTATTTATTTAATTAAATGTTTAACAACAGTTAACTATTTGAATGCTTGTTATTCCAACTATTTCATCAAAAATGCTTGGCAAAATAAATGTGCATTTGAAATGGGGAGAAGAAAACTACTGAAATTATTGCGAGAGAAAATAAGTCTCTAAGCAACATTGTAAGACTCCTGAATTTAGACATACAGAGAGATATTAAAAAAAACCTGACCTCTAGGTGTCTCTGTACCATCTGACTTCTTTTTCTGTTGTTGAAAAAATATTTTTTCATAAGGTATATTATTTTTATTATTATTTATCATTATTGTTTACATCCCCTTATCTTCTCACACATCCACCCCACCTTCCCACATATTCAGTTCCATGACTTCTTTATCTCTTTCTTTAGAATATATACAGGCCACTAAAATAGAAAATAAAACAAAACAGAAAAAAAAAAAAGAAACACAGAAGCATTAGAAACATAAATATTCACACTCATGCAAAAACGCACGCGCGCACTTACACATAAACACACACACACACACACACACACACACACACACACACACCACAAAAACACAAAAAATCGAAAGACCAATAAGTTTAAAAACAATGTCTAAATAGGACCCTGCCCATTGCCATTAAGACTGATCTGGAGGAGATCAACATGCCTGAGTGGCCTGGCCTGGGCAGTGAGGAGAAAACAGTCTGGCACCCTGTAGCTCCAGGCATTCAGACACTATTATGGTGAGCAAATATATAGTGGGATATGAAGGAGAGAGAGAGAGAGAGAGAGAGAGAGAGAGAGAGAGAGAGATAAGGTTCAGTAGTCTGTTTTATTTGTTATTATTTATTTGTTATTCTTGGAAAGAGGCAGATCTGAAGTGGTGAAGGCAGGCATTGAAGAACAGGCTGAGATGGGTGGCCTGCTTTTCACCCTGGGCCATGGTGATGCCTGGGCCTCAGCTTCTGCCAAGTTCTAAGCCTGGATCCATGGCCCTGCTGCTACATTAGTCTGTGTTGATGCCCATGGCTCTGGTTACTCTCAAAGACTGAAATGATAGGGCTATACAACATTAGCCTTACCTCTCACTGACTGCAACATTAAGGAGAACTGGTTCTTCCCCTCTGGGGCTGCAGTATTGAGGAGAGGAGGTCTTAAACCTTCCCTGTGAAGTACAATAAAGCTTCCCCTGTTCTTGGGTAGCAGGTTGGGGAGATTGGGGATTGGGGTGGTGGGGGTTACATGGTTGGCAGTAGGAGATTGGGGAGCCGATGAGGGGCCCTGAGGGTGTTAAAGTGGGAGATCTGGCCTTGTCCCCACTGTCTGCCATGCGGTGGTATGGGTGAAAGAAAGATGTCTTCCCCATCTTGCCCCACACCACCTGTGGCAAGCAAGAGAGCTGACCCAGCCTCACACCAGATGCAGCACTTGGGAGAGTGGGTCCTGATTGTTACCTGGGCATCATGATGGAACTGATCCTGTCATCAGGGTCTCAGGTGAGCCAGCCCCAATAATGTGAGCATAGCCCTACTCCTTGTCTGCCATGTGGTGTCATGGTGAGGGAAAGATGCTCCTTACTGCTCACTGTTTGCAGCAGGATAGAAACCTGGTACCTGAATAATGAGGGCAGGAGAATTGGACCAGCCCTTCACTGGCTGCACCACTCAGAAGAAGGAGCCCTGCACCTCACCTGGATAGCACAGCAGAGCTGTTCTGTTGACAGGGTTATGGGTGAGCCAGCCCTGAGGGCTTGAGAGTGGGAGATCTGTCCTCACGTCTCATCTGCCATATGGAGGTATGAGGGAGTAGAGATGCCCTCTCCACCCTCCAGTGGCAGGTGGACGGGCTGACCATGAGGTAATGAGCCATGGGCAGAAGACCTGTTCCTGCCCCTCAACACCTGCAGCACTTTGTAGAGTGGCCCCTACACCTTGCCTAGGCAAAACAGTAGAGCTGACCCTGGTGGTGTACATATGGGTAAGCTATCTCTGAGAGCATGAAAGCAGGAGAACCAGCCCCTGCTCTTATTCCTTGCTGTATGGGGTGAACTAACTAGAGCAATGCTGGAGGGCTCACCCTGGTGGTGAGGATGGGAGAGAGCTGACAGGCTGACCGACCCAAGCTTTATCCCATCTATTATCTTGTAGAGCATGTGAAGTGTTCTGTCCTGTAGATCCAAAGCTGCAGGATCTCCATGACACAGGGAAACAACAGGATATCCAAGAGGAGTCCCAGTGAGGACCCAGTATTGATAGTGTAGGAGAAAGCAGAGGCCTCTAACCAATGACTAATGACCCTTTGAAAACCTGAAAGTAAAGATATATGAATCGTAGCAATCTTTCCTGTAATGGTGACCCACCCTTTTAGGTGTGGCTTCAAGCAGACAGAAGTAGAAAAAGGGAAGTTTGAGGCATGTGGCTTCTTTTTGCTTGGTCTTTTCTCTTGCATCACCCTATCTTGAAGGAAGGGCAGAGAGGCGCTCCCAAGGTTCTTTGTATTTCTCTTGTGTGTTTCCCAATAAACATTGATTTATCATTTATCTGGGTCTACACCCTCACCTTCAATGGATTAAAGGATTTTCTGTGGGAATCACTGTGTCACACACACTACACTACAGCTTCTATGATGAGATTTTTCTTTTTCTTTTCTCTTAATTTTTATATTATTTGAGGGAGCTGCAAGGGCAAAGGGTGAATATGAAGGTAAGGGAAGATGAATGGGATCATGCGTGGTGTGAAATCCACAAAAAAAATCAATAAACCATTTTTTAACTGCCCCCCAAAAGCAGTATGAGACAAAAGTCTCCAAAAATTGCATCATTTTTTTTTTGATCACTAATGCTGGGTACAGGGCTTCCATGTAAGTATGTTTTGTATATTCATTGAGACTTCACTGGAGGACATTATGTTTTCCTTGTGATAAGGAGTCATTTGGAGATAATTTCCTGATGAGGTATGGGGATCATGTCCACTTCATCTCTAAGCATTGGAACTCGGTCTGGCTTGGACTTGTGAAGTCCGCCTGCATGCTGCCATGGTGTCTGTGGCTTCACATGTGTATCAGTCCTCTTGAATCCAGAAGGCTCTGTTTTCTTGTTGTCATTCATTGTCACTGGGTCTTATAATCTTTCTGACTCTTCGGCATAGCTACCGTATCCTTGAGGGGAGGGGATTGATGAAGACATCAGATTTAGAACTGAGAGTGTCAAGATGTCTCATTTTCTTCACGTTGCCCAGTTGTGGGTCTTTGTATTAGTTACTGTGTCCTGCAAGAGGATGATGATGATGGCTCTGATGATGGCTGAGTGAGGTGCTGGTTTATGGATTTAGCAATGTTTCTAGGACTCATTTTGTTCCTAAGTTCCTTTAGCAGAACAATATTATTCTGTTTGTCTTGAAGTCTCTAGCAAAGGCATTCTTGGGTATGGGTTTTATTTCATGGAGTGTATGTACCTTAAACACATTCAGAGAGTGTTAGTTATTGCCACAGTTTTTGTGTCACTATTGAATTAGTGTGTCTTACAGGCAGGTCACCACTAGAGAGTAAATATTTGTAGCTGGATAAGTTAACCTTCTCCTCTGGTAGTGTAGAGACTACATTCAAGTATAATGAAACCTACTCAGCAGGAGTTGAAGCTCTTGGTAGTCAACAACTCAACTTCTCCATCCTCAATGAAATATGTAAGTTTAGGAACAGGGCTTTACCATAGATTTATTGGAAGGAACCAACAACCTTGACAATTGCCTGTTTGGAAATTTCCATGGGACAGCTTTGTCCAACAACTCAATTAGATATAACCCATTTCTGGCACTGGATATTTTACTTGATCATGAGAGATGGCTTGCTGTGACTTTGTCTCCCACATCATTTGATTCCATTTATACTAATTTCATACACACATATATTAAAAAGTTTCTATAGTAATAGACATCTCAAATGACCCTTGTTGTTAGCTGTCTGTCCTGATAGTCTTTCCCTTCCTCTTCCCTTCTTCATTAATCCTCTTTTCTTCCATCCCATCTCTACATAACTACACATTCTAATTACCTTACATTCCCAATAGACTTTTACTCTATAACTCTATGCCTAACTTCTGTGGTTATACAGATTCAGTATATCAATTGAAGGCTTTAAAGCTAACATCCACTTATAAGAGAATAAATAAGACATTTGTCTGTTGGGGTCTGGGTTATTTCGGTCAGGAAGACTTTTGTTAATCCATCCATTTGCATACTCAATGCAATGCCCTTCCAAATACGCATACAATTCTTCACAGAAATAAAAAAACTTCTTTATTATGGAAACACAAAATATTCCAGACAGCAAAACACTTTGACCAGCAAAAGAGTGGATGGAGGTATTAGTATGCAAATTTCAGATTATACTATAAAGACATAGTAACAAAAATTAATAATACTGACATAAAACAGACACATTGATCAATGGAATAGA